TTTATATATATATATATTTTTTAATTTTAAATAAAATTTTAAAATTACCAGGTTGTGACATGTGTCACTTAACGGGAAATTAACGTTGTTGACGGCTCGGACACCTAAATGAGTAACATAATGAAACGTTAGGCACTAAATTGAAAAAAGAGACATATGTTAGGCATCTTTTGTATATTTAAGCCTAGTTTTTAATATGGCTAATTTAGTGGTAGTTAAGTCATGCTCTCATGGTGTTGACGATGGCTAAAATAGTGGACCGTGATCAAAACTTTAGGTATTTTTATGTTTTATTCTAGTGGTTGCATTGGTTCTATTCTTTCTATTTCTGGTATAGGTTATTTCTATTTGTGGCATAGGTTTTTAACCTCGTAAGCGAGTTAAAGAAACCGTCGCGTATCGTTTCATTTTCTTTATACTTTCTTTTTAATAACAAATAGAGACATGTAGCAGTTTTTTTTAACTTCGTTTTTTCTTCGAACATGGTGGGCAAGTTTTGGATCAATGGTAGGTTACTTCAATGAGTTGGCATCGGGGAATGGGGACAATAGGAAATGGTCAGGTTATTGAAGACGACGAAGCCTTCAGATTGATGGCTAAATCCTGTTGAGACATATGAAGTTGGTGAAAGACCTTCAACACACCCCCTTACCCTACCCTACCCTACCCTACCAATACCATCATTGGTAATCTCGTATTGTTCTTCAGTTCTCGTACTCCATTATAAGTATGGTAGTGCAGCTCGATAACGATTATCGGAACGAACCGGTTGCGAGAATTTGGTCCTTTATGTTGTATTACATGAAGAATTGATATTAGTTGTTTTAGAGGATATTAAATAAGGGAGATGGTTGGTGGGAATTGTTTTTAAGTTGCCCTACTTTTGCACACATTGTCGGTGGGACACTCGTATAATCCAGTCGGTGTATCCATGCATATATTCTTTGCCTGGAGAAACAGATATACACCCTTACCCTAAACCTTATCCTCATCAATGAGCTTCAAGCTATATAGGAAGAAAAACACCCATACATGCATATATACATATACCTGTGAAGTACTTATATTTAACATGTTTGTCCCTGAATCAGTCACAGGATATGGCAGTCTATCTTGTTGTGCATTCTGCTCTTTATCCAGATTGCCTCAAGCATTAAGCAAACATGGAGATTCATTTTCGATTAAACATGATTGATTGAGTTTTTACACGTTCCCCTAATCGACCGTGTAACCGAATAAAGTAAAAAAGAAACCATGTCATCAATTTATTATCAGTAATTAATAATGATATCAATTTATACTAATAACGATATAAAAGTAGAGGACTGAATTATGTTAAATTATAGTCACCAGATTAAGTCTCGAATTTTAACATAATAGAGGGACTTAAAAGTTTCATCAAGCAACTTGAGTTTTAGAGCTAAAGGCAGTATGACGTTGAAACCACACCAAATCTAAACTTTTTCTCGTCTTTTTAATCCGCATGTGATAGGCTCGAAATATCGCTATTGATTTGAGTGAGTTGCACCAAATCTTGAAAAGACTAACCTCAACCAGAACCAAACCTGGTACCCCCGTTTTAAACCTCTCCGTTTTCTGTAATAAACGGACATTCCTACATGGCGGTTATGTCATCGGGGTCCCATAGCCCACAAGCTCTTGTTAATGGCTTACATTCATTATAATTCATCTTCTATCCAAAAACCCTTTTCTTAATAAATTCATCGTCAGCTCTTCACCTCACTATCAACTAGAGATAAATAAATAAAGAAATTCCATTTCTCCTCCCTATAGATTACCAGAGATGTTACATGGTGTGCACTCCATGGAAAGCTGTGTTCATAATGGGATGGACATTACAGAACTTGAGAGACAACAGGCAAGGTTGAAATTGCAGCAAAACCATGTGGTCCAAAATGACAATCCTATTGAGTTATGTCCAAATTCAGTGCCTCAGTTTCAGGGTTTCAGTGGAGAGCTTCATCAGGGTAGTGGTGATTTCCACAATTTTTTGAAGTATTCAGCATCTGGACCGGATTTTGGTGACTGTATAACAATGGAGTCTCCAACCGGAAGAAGAGCTTCAACAAGAGAAAAGCAGAGGTTTGGCACTATGTATTAACTGTATATCTGTTCATTTTGAGACTTTTTCTTCTTGTTGTTGGATCGAAGATAAATCTATTCAGTTTTTGCTATACAGGCTGTTGTCGATGATAAATGCAAAGATAAGAGGATCAAATGAGAGATGGAAATGGAATCTGAGTCCAAAACGAAATGCAGTACAGATGTTTCAAGAAACTCTTCAATGGAGAATTCGAAGTCTCAGCAGAAGCCAGATTACATTCATGTAAGGGCTCGTAGGGGCCAGGTTACTGATAGCCACAGTTTGGCAGAAAGAGTAAGTGGGGGGTTTTTTGTTTTAGAATTTTGGATTTTTATTGTTAAGTAAAATCAACCTTTTGTATGTTACAGGCAAGGAGGGAAAAGATCAGTAAGAAGATGAAATGCTTGCAAGATTTAGTCCCAGGTTGTAATAACATCACTGGAAAGGCCGGAATGCTTGATGAAATAATCAACTATGTTCAATCTCTGCAAAAACAAGTTGAGGTAATCAGATAAGACATATGGTCAATGTTGTTAGCCTTCGAACATTTTCATTAGCACAAAAGTTCTCTATGTTAACTTATGACGTTCATGCTAATTGTTCTTTTGTCACTGATCATTGGAGGAAAAGTGGATAAAAAAACAGGCAACTTCTTGTCTGACTGACTTGTGGTTTAAATAATGGTGCAATGAATCAGTTTGCTGCTTATGTCGCCAAATTTCCAGCAGCCATTAAGTCACCGGAAACGGCTGGTTTGCCCTTTCTTCAGTTGCAAAAGGAAGCTGTAATTTGCATGTTGGATACAACAACGAACCCTCCCCGAACGGTCACGGAAGGAATGAACGCAAGTGCTTCTTTATCTATCCCGGAACAAGCTCTTGGCTCATCCTGCATAACTGTAATTTATTCGTACTCTCTCATGCATGAATTTCTGGTTCTGTTGATGTCTTAATTGTGTCAAAATCATATATATTGCAGCAACTACAACCATTTTCAACTTGGAACACTGATCCCCTAGGCCCTCACAATGCGCACAATTTGGGGTTTCCTTGAGGGTAATCAATCAATTTTGGTCCCAACATCTAGAGGTGCATATGTTCATTTTTTGAAGTTTTACGTATTTAGAGATTCTTGAAGGGCCATGGACGATTTCCTTACTGGTATCCGGATATGTCTCGGAAACGGTTATCCGAAAAGGGTACCGAGTAAAGAGTCCAAGCAAACATTTGTCTGTCCATTCTCTCCCAGCTAAGATTTGTTGTTTACTGGTTTTTTCTGCAGATACTATTCCTGGAATCATATCAGACTTCAAGATCCTCCTACAAGATTTATGTCAAAGATTCCTGAAATCCAACACGTATCAAAGATGGAGATTTTATTTCCTTATTTTTTTACTATGATTCCAACAACTTATTAAATGAACATATTCTTGTTTTTGTGTGGTCCAATTTTTCAAATGAAATGGCATCCATATCATTAATCACAAAGCTTTTCCATATATGCACTACAACGACTAGAGATATGTTTCTTGTCAATATGTTTGCCCAACTTATATGTATGTGTGTGTGTGATAGTGATGAATGGTCGGGTGGAGGATTAGGTACGGAGCCAGGATTTTAGTTAAAGGGAGATAAAGTAAATGGGGTGAAATTAAAATAAATCAAAATTTAAAGGCTTAAATAGGTAATTATCCTTATACTTTTTAATGGCAAAAAAGTTTGGGGGATAGTAGGGCCCCAAGGACTTATATGGCTCCGTTCCTGTGGGGGACCAGAATAAGAGTGGCATACAAAAGCTGATAGTAATAGAAAATGAGATTTGGTTGAGAGGTTTAATCAGTGCGAGGGGCAACAAAGCTGGTGGCGCTAGTGGCGGAAGTGGCCCTACTTGGTGGCTCCTTGGCTTAACTTTGCAGACTAAGGGGCTGTTTGTTTATTTTAAAATGATTAAGCGCTGGACGATTCAGATGATCTGTATGAATTAACTCTGAATGTGACATGTTGTTTGATAATGACTCTGAATCATTCAGAATGTACTTATGTGTTGAATCATTCAGCATTGTTTTGCTGAATCAGTCAGTACCGAATCATTCAGAGGTGCGAAACAAACGCGCTGAATATTGAACGGTTCAACATTCAACGCTTAATGATTCCATTAATAGACAAACAAACAGCCCTAAGAATACACTTGAATTTCATCTAAATTTTTCAACATTTGATTCAATGATAAACATTATTGGTTAAATCTAAATACCCTTTTTTTTTATATAATTTGATTCAATTTGAGAAAATAATAAAAGCTCAAACATAAGAAAAAAGGAAAAGATTAAAAATTAAATTATTTTTAAAAAATTTGGGATCGAACATATAATTAAATTTTAAATCAAACACAACACGTTATTATCTATGTTAAGTCATGATCAACTTTAGGATCATAAATATTTTTTTAATTAATCACTGGTATCCGATCTATTGACCGATTAATTCAGATTGGTACTACAGAGACGAGGGCAACCCTCCCAACCCAATTTAATTCATTTGCAAAATTAACAAAATTATAATATAAAAATATTATTTTAAACATTAAATTATCATAACATAAAAACATTATTTTAGTTCATTTATTTATTTTACTTTAAATTCAGGTTCAATCTTAACAATTAATAATGTTATAATTTTAATGCGTAAAATAAAAATAGATACTTAAATTATGTATTCTTTTTTACTTTAAGTACCTAAACTGTTTTTTTGTCAAATTAAGTACTTAAATTATTATATTTAAATATTTTAAATAAATTAAAAATGTATTTAGCGAATTATTTCTGTAAAATTCAATCATTATCATTAAAGTATAAACAATTAGAAGAATTAAGTAGACACCTGACATGTTTTTTTCAACCTTTAAATGGCTGTGCCTAGCCGGGACTTCTGTTTTTGAATAGCGCAAATTAGGGTTTTCTTTTCCAGAAATGGCTACAGAATCTTCAGAGTCGGAAGAAGAAGGGAAGATTACAGGAGGAAATCAACACCTAATTGTTGAAGATGATCTGAGAGAAATGGGCAAAAAAGCAGCTTGGAGTGTCAGCTCTTGTAAAACCGGCAATGGCGTCTCTTCTGTCCGTGATGACAATCTTGAAACCTATTGGCAGTTAAACACGTTAATCTCTTCCCAATTTGAAACCCAATTTTACTTTCAATTCTCACTTTTTATGAGTGGTTTTCAGATCAGATGGAGCTCAGCCTCATTTAGTTAACATTCAGTTCCAGAAGAAGGTCAAGTTGCAAGTATGTGAGAATTCTGCTATTCTTTGGATCTTAAATTTGTAATTTTATTAACTTTTGGTGATGGGTTTATGACGATCAGTGGGGTTTCCCCTCCCTTTCATTTGGGGTTTTGAAGCTAGTTGTGCTTTTTGTGGATTTCAAGCTTGATGAGAGCTACACGCCAAGTAAGATCTCTATTCGAGCTGGTGATGGCTTCCATAATTTGAAGGTATAATCTATAGTTTACTTTGTGCTTTCATTTAGAATCGTGCACTCTTACCAGGCTGTTCAATTTGTGTATAAATGTTCTCTATAGGAGATTAAAACTGTGGAGCTTGTCAAGCCTACTGGTTGGGTTTATCTTTCGTTATCAGGAAATGATCCTCGGTGAGTAGCAAAATGATTGTTTCTATTGCTACGTTTCAGTGACAATTTTAGCAGTTAGTTCTATATTGTTTTCTGCTGTTAGTTGGGTTTATCTTTCGTTATCAGGAAATGATCCTCGGTGAGTAGCAAAATGATTGTTTCTATTGCTACGTTTCAGTGACAATTTTAGCAGTTAGTTCTATATTGTTTTCTGCTGTTAGTTAATATAAACGGTTTGCTGGAGGAGAACCCAAGGGGAGATTTGTTTTGGGTTTACTGATAAATGAAAATGTCTTGCAGAGAAACCTTTGTCAATACCTTTATGCTGCAAATTGCGGTTTTGTCGAATCATCTTAATGGAAGGGATACTCATGTTCGCCAGATCAAAGTTTATGGACCTCGACCGTATGTACCGTACAAAAAAAATCATTTCCTTATGCTTAAGTTATTTGATCGCCCATGTTCTAATTTATAATTCATTGGTGTTTAAATGCTCTATTGCAGGAATTCTATTCCCCATCAACCTTTCCAGTTTACTTCAAGAGAATTCATTACATACTCCATTGTGAGGTAATAGATGTGACCTGGCTTGGGGTAGAAAAGGTCATGCTATGTGAAGTGTGGAATAGTCTTATATGGAAGAGAACTGAGCTCTTTAGAACTGTGAGGAGCCTTCTCATAGGAGTGTAATTCTCTCAATATTGGTAGGAAGAAAGAGAGATGATATTGCCTGTATTCACTACCTTGGGCTTGTGCTGTTCAAATGGTTTAAACATCGTGATTTTCTGAAACATTGTTACATTATATTATTTGAGAAAAAAGCAATAGATGTTTTGATTTGTAACTCTGCATACCAGTGTTTTTTCTCCTTGTTTCCATGTCTTATCTCATATTTAGGGTTGAAGTTTAAGTCAAGACTTTCAATTTAAAAGAAACTGAGTTCCAAGTTCAGGTTACAGTGAAATCCTATTATCATTTGAAATATTGGAACTGTGATATGTATTCCTAGCTGGGAATGTCTTGCCACTCTGCAATCCACAAAAAACCATGATAGAAACTATACTATTGACTCAGAATGAGACATCAGGACATCTTCAAAACATTTTAAACTAGAGATTCAAACCATTTGCTGTGCTACGCTCTTTCTGTTGCAAACCACCACCTTTCTTTTCCCTTTTGTCAGCTAACCTGCTTGTTCTGGCCACCGGCACCTCCTTTGCATCTCTTCTCTTCTTCTCTCCTTCTTTCCTTTTATGATGTTGCCTCCTTTTCCTCTTGCTGTGTTTTTGTCTTCTTAAAATTTTTATTTCTTTGTTATATTCCTTTCTCCAACAAATTTAGGGTTGGTAGGTTGTCGTCAATTGGGTAAGACATTGAATCCTTTCTCGTCATTGTCTCTTGGCTGTTGAAGGGATCTTTGGTCATCCCCCTCAGCATGGATGGGGTTTTTCGTCTCCCTGTTACTGAAGTTGTCGCAGCTGCTCCCGTATTTTTTGGTGATTCATTTTCTGGTGTTTTTGTTCCCAATGGATCCTTTTAGCCTTCTCGGTTTTTAATTAACTTTTACCAAGGCTTTCTTTGCATTTGTTTCAAATTAGAAACGATGTTTCCATCGCCTCAGCAGCAAAGAGCTGGACCAAGACTCCGTTACATTAAGGTGGCTTAGCTCGCTTTTATTGTCAGTTTGCCAAGGTTATCAGCATGAGCTTCCCCTTGCTTTCCATATCTCAACGATGTAAGCTTGATAAAAGTGAAGTTGCTCCGTTTCTCCCCTGTTCGAGTTTAAGGTTTACTAGCCTCAATGACATTTTTCTTGTAAGTGACTGTGGTTCTGGTTTACCTATAAATCCTGTATCTTCAATTAAAGTTTCCATTTGTTATTAGAAAAAATCAGTTAGTCTATACTCTGGAAAATGATACATTTTCCTTCACAGGTGTTATGGTAGCTCGCTTATTGGTGAATGCTCGGCATTGCTTCCGTAGTGCACCTGATTGTATTGTACGCCTTGTTTCATTTTTGGTTCGGCGGGGTTTAGGGGCGGAGCTCCCTTAGGGGCCAAAGAGACCCCAGCCCCTGTAAAAATATTTTATGCTTGATAGATTTTGATCTAATAGTATTTTTGTTAATGTAAAACTAAGTATTTAAATTAAGAAATATAAGAATTTATTAGATGTTTAATCAAGTAAGGAGCAAAACTAAAGAATGATACTCTAATACCAACAACCGGTTGGTCCAGGGAAATGAGGCACTAGATCACTTAAGTAAGGTCAGGGGTTCAAATCTTGGTGATTGCGAATAAAGCAAACTGAGTTAAAAAGGCCGCCCTTGCCTCTGCGTACCTGATCCTAATTAGTCGACCAATAAATTGAAAACTTATGGTTATACAAAAAAAAAGGAATGATAATTCAATATTCTCAATTTTTTTGTTTAATAACAATTTAGGTAATTATAAATTTAATTATTAGATAAATTAGACATTGTTTTTTGAATTGTAAGTTTGTTTAAATACTTAGTAAATCATTGTATTTTTTTAAAAAATTAATATTTCTACCCCTTTCTATATCAAATCCTGGCTCGGGGGCGGGGTTGATAATAAGTAAAAGAAGCACCCAAAAATGAGCGGCGTTTATGTTACCAATACCGGATATAGACAACTAGCTAAGTACTGATTCTAAGATGATGGAGAAACCTACAAGTCAGATTGTAAGATCAGAAAAGCCATGCAATCAGCAGCTACGATCAGCCAGGAAGGGTCATACAAGAAAAGCATCCATTAGAACATAAATACTTGGTTGCTAAAATAGAAGGCAGCATTCTAAAGCAGAAAGATACGAATTTCCTACCAACATGCTCATTCACAGGCCGCAGCTGCTCGGCTTGGTTGCGAAGACAAGAAACAAAGGGTAGAATCAATGATGCGGATCTCTGACCAGTGATGATCATTCACAAGCTGGTTTGGTGTCAAAGCTGCTCAGGCAGATAGCAAAGGCTTGGAAAGCAGATAGAGGATATTGATAATCCATGGTGAAGATATCTTTTCCAATTTTTCCAAACTGTAAGATTACTTTCTCTTGTTCTTCAAGAGATACGTTATGTGATGGATCAACAGCTGCAGAAAGCCGGAAATGCTTAACAGAGGCCACCGTCACTAAGAGCTTCATTTTTTCTAGTCAAAACTCCGAAATTTGCATTAGTGGGATGCATACTGGGAATGTTACTTTCATTCTTTTGGTTACGCTTTTTGAACTTGTCAAAGAGAAGTTCAATGAGTTTCTCGGCCAGAAAATCTGGCGCAGTCTCTAAAGCTGCATCGAGTATTTACGCGATTATCTTTTAACAATCAATAAAGTAGTAGATTTCCGAATGCATAGCCTTCTAGCATGCCCTTCTCTATGAAAGCAAACCTTGAGGTCTGCATTCCCCCCCCCCATAAATACATTGGCTCATTTCTTCCGTTCCATTGATGGTTGTCATTGGAACTTGTCTTTCAACACAACATACCTAATGACAGTTTGTTGTTTATTTCAGTCTTGGTGGGTTTACGGCTTTGGTCGCAGCGGTGGGGTTGCCTGAACAAGTGGTTGGACTTGTGTTACTGAATAATGCAGGACAGTTTGGAGACAGGCTAAAACCACCAAATCTGAGGAAACGTTCTTGCAGAAATCTATTTTAAAGCCACTGAAGGAAATTTTCTAGCGTGTCGTTCTTGGGGTTTTGTTCTGGCAAGCAAAGCAACCGGCTCGTATCGAATCTGTCTTAAAAAACGTATGTCACCTACAGCCTTGTTTATTTGGCTTCCCTTGCAAAATTTATCCAGATTGTCAAAGGTTTGGATTGTTTTTATGAACTTATTCTAATATTAAACTTCACATGCATCCCAAGACATAGGTAGAATCGGCAATCTTTAATGGTTCCCTGGAAGCTATCAAGTCACTGATGATAGTTTTTCATCAAACAGGTGTATATCGATACCTCCAATGTGGATGATTATCTTGTGGAATCCATAAGAATGCCTGCAAATGATCCGAATGCCGGAGAAGTGTACTATAGGTATCTATATTGCTTCAACTCTTTATTTTTATTGAAGTTTCAATGTTTGGCACTCTTTGTCCAAAGCATACAACATATACCTGCGACAGCTTGTTTCACTGTTCGAACTGTTGATTATCCTCAGGTAGATGACACGGTTCATGCTAAATCAAACGGAGTACACTCTGGACAGTTTCTTGAGCAAGCTAACCTGTCCACTCCTGTTGCTGTGGGGTGACTTAGACCCTTGGGTTGGTCCGGCCAAGGCTAACCGCATCAAAGAATTCTACCCGAACACAACTGTCGTGAACCTACAGGCAGGTCATTGCCCACATGATGAAGTTCCAGAACTTGTTAATAAGGCTCTGGCTGAGTGGTTGTCGACTTTACAGACAAAAGCTTCGCTCCAGACAGTGTAAAAGAGATCCAGTTTTATGACATTGTGAATCACTCTTTGCTGTAGGATTACGTATAATATAACTGTAAATACATTGATTACATGTTCCATTTTTCATACATATGCAAGAAAGTTGAGCGTTGCTTATTACAAGATTCTTGGAAACAAAGGGGAAGGTTTATGTTTCTGGTAATGCTGTATCTTGGAATAAACCATCAGCTTTTAAAATAGGGTAAACTACAAGTTTAATACCTCAATTATCACTTTTATTTCATTTGATTATCTAACTGTTTTTTTAATATTTAATGTTACGTTTGATTTTTATTTTGATTATTTACCGTTAAAAAAATTAACATAATTATTGACGTGATATTTTCTATATCAGTAATTGTTTTTCAATGATGATGTGACATTACGTTATGATAACATGTAATCATCATTGTTAATTTTTTTTAATGATGAGTGAATAAAATGAAATCAAAATATAATGTTAAGAATGATTTAAAAATGATAATTTGGTAATTAAAATAGAACAAAAATGATAATTAGGATACTAAACATGTAATTTACCCTTTAAGATATAAGTTTGCTACTAAAAGGGATGACATAACATAATCCAATAATAGTTAAAAGAAAAGATAAAATAAATTTTCTATTGAAAAATAATAATCAATAGATTAACAGGGTTCAAAAAGAATTATTCTAAAAAAATGTATTTTTGACCCTCAAAGTTTACCAAAATTCCATACATCGCATCCTACTGAAGAAGATAACACGTGGCAGAAGGTGATCGATTCATGATGTGAAACTGTAGGACAAGTAACCGTATGGAACGAGAAGATGGTCGCTGAAAGCTGGGGACAGTTCATCTCCGGTTACAAAGCTTCACTTTCTCAGCTCAAAAAATCATAAAGAAAACCCCTCAAATCGTCTCTTAAAATTTAAGAAGAGCGAGATGGGAACACTGGGGAAAGCAATCTACACCGTTGGATTCTGGATCCGAGAAACCGGCCAAGCCCTAGATCGCCTTGGTTGCCGTCTCCAAGGCAGCTACTACTTCCAAGAACAACGTACGTACCGTAAAACCGTAACTTCTTTATTCAATTTTACCTCTGGATCGAATTCGCTACTCGTTTATGCTTCATTTGTATATGCAATTATGTAGTATGGTGATATAATAATCATTGCTGCTCTCATCAATCGAAATTTGAAACTACATTTGGGAAGATCTTGACCACGTATAGCTGATTCTTTGGGAATTGTTTGGATCTGGTTTGTTTCAGTGTCGAGGCATCGGACGC